CACTCATGACTCAGCAATTAAAAGTAATGAAGTATTGATGTATAGAACTATACAGATGAACTTCCAGAGAATTATGTTAGGTGGGACAAAAAGAAAAAAATCCCAAAAGGTTATATACATTTTATTACTCCATGTATGTGACATTCTTCAAATGATAAAATTATAGAATAGAGAACACATTAGTGATTTTCAGGACTTAAGGAAAAGAGGAGGCAGTGAACAAGAGGGAAATGGGTGTGTCTACAAACGGATACCAGGAGGGATCTCTGTGCTGACTGAAGGGATTTTTCTGTGTCTTCACTGTATCGATGTCGATATTTTGGTTGTGATATTATACCATGGTTTTGGAAACGAGTATAAGGTGGAATCTTTCTATACTACTTATCACAACTGCATATAAATCTACTATTATCTCAAAAACTTTTTCTAAAAAAAATTCCCCCAAAAAGTAAGAAAATCAAATTCATACCATTCTCCAAATCTAATCTCGTTCCAGTGTTACTATCTCATTGAATGACAACAGCCATCCCAGAACAAAGCAGAAACAAAGCAAGCATCCCTGACAACCCTATCTCGTGTATCTTCCACATCAAATACAAGTCCTGCTGGCTTTGTCTCCTGGACATCTATGGAACTGTTTCACTTCTTTCTGTCTTCAATACCACTAACCTAGTCCAAGTCAATTGTATAACAATGAATTGCATTCATTGTATAACTGGAAGCCTACCCTGGCCAGGGACTGTTTTAGGTTCTTGGAAAACAGGAGTAAATGAAAGAGGCAACACCTCCTATAGCAGCTAACAATGCAGAGGAAGAGACAGATCATGAAGATCTAGTTACTATTACACAGTGCTAAGCACAGGGAGGAAAATAAAACACACTGAGGACATAGCACGGGGGCTGGAGGGCCATGTGTCAGATGAGCTGTGGCTGTGTGAGCAGATGCCTGTGCAGCACAAGGAAGTGAGCGATGTGGGTGCATGACTACCATAAAGAACAGTCCTAGACAGAAAAAAGCAAGGGCAGAGGCCTGAGTGGGGGCCTGCTTGGTCCCCCTGACAAACTACAGGGCAGCCAAGGGTGATTAGAGGCCTCAAATGAGGGGCAGAGTGGAAGGAGATGAGGGTAAAGAGGCAGCCAGGGCAAGACCATGTAGGTCTCTGAAGGTCATGATGGAGACTTTGGGCTATGCTGTATGAGATGGAAACCACTGGAGATTTTGAGCATGGAAGCAACACAACTTGATTTCCTCTTTAAATAGATAATTCTGGAAGTTACAAAGAGAACAGATGTTGCTGGTAGGAAGGGAGGGGCAGGCCCTATGTAGGAGTCTTTGTTGGCAAACAAGAAAAAGACTAACTCATACAAATTAAACTGGAATAGACTGGGAGGTGAGGTGGTTCGGGTCTATAATCCCAGCATTTTGGGAGGCTGACATGGGAGGATCACCTGAGGCCAGGAGTTCAAAAACAGCCTGGGCAGCATAGCAAGATCCCCATCTTTACAAAATCAAGTAAAATAAAACAGGGCTATAGAGCATTGTGGTTACATTTCCACCTTAAAAGCACAGTCACTTTAAAACCATTCCAGGCCATTTCATCAGGGCTGCTGCTAAGCTACAGAGCATTCTGTGCAAATCAGGAAAAGACAGCCTCCACTGTGTGCAGTGGCAGCTCCAGCAAAACCTCACTGACCAATCCCCCCCCGCCGCTCACCACCCTGCACAATTCAGTCTGCCCAAGACGGCTTCTTGCAATAAGAAAACAAAGCAGGCTGGGTGTGGTGGTTCACACCTGTAATCTCAGCCCATTGGTAAGCTGAGGCAGGCGGATCACTTCAGGTCAGGAGTTCAAGACCAGCCTGGCCAACATGGCAAAACCTGGTCTCTACTACAAATGCCAAAAATTAGCTGGGCATGGTGGCATGTGCCTGTAATCCCAGCTACTCAAGAGGCTGAAGCACGAGAGTCACTTGAACCTGGGAGGAGGATACTGCAGTGAGCTAAGATCATGCCACTGCACTCCAGCCTGGGTGACAGAACAAGAGTCCATCTCAAAAGAAAATAACTTTGTACATTTTGAGGCTACCAGAGGTTCTAGAGAGTCCTGTCCCTGGGAGAACGAGTTTTTCTGTCACTGGCTGTTCAAGGGGTAGGTTTTTGACTAAAATGTTTTTTCTTTTTTAAAATCATATAAACATAGAGAGGGTCTATGTTACCCAGGTTATAAACATAGAGAGGGTCTATGTTACCCAGGTTGGTCTTGAGCTACTGGGCTGAAGTGATCCTCCCACCTCGGCCTCCCAAAATGCTGTAATTACAGGCATGAGCCACCATACCCAGCCTACAGGTTGAGTTTTTGGTTTCAGCTAGAGTCTGAGATAATTCCAGGAACATCCCAGTCCTTCAACCACGCTCTCAGTGAAGTGAGCTCTCATGGTAAAAGGAAGCTGTCTATCCTGAGGCAATCTTAGTGGAGGCAGACAGGAGCCACACCAGGGGTACAGCAGAGATGCAAACACATGTCAGCACCCTAGGAATGCCATCTGACTTCCATCTGACAAGAGGAGGAGGAAGGTCATCCCACCAAGAGGAACCAGCCAGGAAACAGCTCTGACATCCTTCACTTACTCAACAGCCTGCTCACGGTTTTCCTGCAGGGATATCCTCCCAAATCTGAAAAGGAACTGGATGACAACACTATCGGGGCCCCAGCATCCCTCTGGACAGCTCTAGACTCCAATCATATTTTCAGCCTGTTAATACTCACTTCTCCCTGGAGAGGAGACTTACTCGGCCATCAGATGCTCCCCAGGTGAGGGGAAAGGTAACAATTATTTTCCTCTAATCTTCCACACCAGATTCAGCCCACACATAATGGCCAGACTGACAACCACCTTAAATCTCACCTGGTTCCCTGCTGCTTGCATTCTGCTTACTTTGTGGTGGCCTCTGGCAGTTTATTAAATTTTAATTTAATATAAAATTAGTGTATTTCTCTCAAAGGGGAGTAAAAACACAGGTGTAATTCCCCTATAAATGAAAAGTTCAAGCCACCATCACAAGAAAGCTCTCTCTGGAACAGTAGCTATGTGGATCAAAGCTGCCTGCCCTGCAGCTCCTCGTTGGGCCCATGGCACAAGGAGCTGTCACTGAGCCCTCTGGACCTGACACGCCCTGCACTGTGGTCATCAGACTCTCCACATGGGCTGCGGGCTGCAGAACCCAGCCTGGGCCTGCCCTGGGCTACTTATGGCTCCTCAGAGCCTGTGCTTGCCTCTCAAGCACCAATCAAACCCTGTGACAGGGCCCGTGGCTCTCTCGGCTACCTGTTCTGCCTTCTCCTCACTGGCTTTACTTCTTTGGACCTTCATGAACACCATTCTTTAGGCCTGAGGCAATTCTTCAGTCCTTGAATCTCAGGCCCTTCCTCAGGGAAGCCTTTGCTGACACCGCCCTGCCTGCTCTGTGCTCTCACAGCACCAAGTGTCTTTCCCATATGGTCCTCATGTGAGTGTGTTCACCTTGTTCCCTTGCTAGATCGTGCACTACAGAAGTGCGAGATCTGCGTCTCTTTCTGCCCAATTCTATACCAGCAGCACTCAGCACAGCTTGCTCATCACTGACCAAGGGACAGCAAAGCTGTGGTTGAGGGTTCAACCTAGATCCCCCAGAGCCGGAGCCCCCCAGTTCAACACCTCTCAGTCCCCTACTGCCACAATGGCCCCTCCCCATTTCCTCAGGCTCTGTCACAGATTCCTCCTGCTTAAGTGTCTCACAAATGCTGTTTCCTGGATTCAGGCCTCTGGTTGGCCCCCTCACCCAGCCTGGTCCAGGCTTCCAATGCCCCTGTTGTGCTGATGGCTCCTTGACCTCCCTTGAATCTCGGCCCTGTCACTTATACACCTGCCCACCAGCGATCTCCATCTGATTACTTCACTTGCATCTCAAGTGAAATTCAGCCCACATCCGACTCCTCCTGTACCCTGATCACGCAGGCGCCTCCTCTTCCCTCATGAACTCACAGCAAGCGCCTTCGTCCAGACCCTTCCACGTCCTGCCTGCCACCCTCCATGACTGCAATCGCTCTGCAAGGCTTCCCGCCTCTAGTTTTGCCTCACTTTCAATCACAATGCTCCCAAAGTCACCATCTGTATTAAACTTGAATCACATAGAACGTCATGAATATATTCTCTTTGTGAAAAATTAAAATACTATATGTAAATAACGTCCCCTTTTTGTGGGATCCATTCTCAATCTTATTCCAAGTCTAACTAATGTCACCGTTAGCTATGGTGTATCCTCCTAAACATTCTCTCTGGGCTTACACACACATTACACATGCACATAATTTTCATTAAACATAAATGGTGACATCCTAACAATGCTCTGTCTTGCTGGGAGCTCTATCCATGTCCGTGGGCTCTTGTTTTCAGTGTGGCAATGTTCGCCAGAGAAAGGACACACCACAGGTCCCTTAGCTATTCTTACACCGATGAAGACTCAACTGTTTCTAATTCAGACCAATTTTTCTAAGATACCAAGGACCATATGATTCCCTGCCCAACTCCTTCAATGATTTCCAGGGCTCCATGGGACAGTTTCCACCTCTCAGAACTGTGCCAAAGCACTCACCACATGGCCCTTTCCTAGCTTTCTAGGCTACTTCCTTCCTTACTTCCTACTTTTCCCAAATACACACCCTGAGCTCAGCCAGAGTGAATTATTTGAAATTCCTTAAATAGTCTATGTTTGCTCAATGAATACATGAAAAAAACAGCCCTCTCCTGAAACAACAGGAAAGGGTAAGAAAAGAGACTCTGAGAGATTCATGGTGAAGCGATTACAAGGGAATAAGAGGAAGCTCATGTATACAAGCCTGGGCTCCTCCTTCCCCACCACTTTTTGAGTTCTGAGAAACCTCAAAGGAGCTTTCCAACAAATATTTCCAGGTTGTGCCTCCTCTCATTAACCAGACCCTTGTCTGCAGCCACCCACTTACCTAGAGAGGAGCTGCCAGAACAGTCCTTCTCCACCTTCCAGGGATCTTCTCCTTGCTGCAACAGGGAGATCACTTTTGGTTTGGTAAATGGGAGTCCTGCACATAGACAAAAAAAAAAAGTCTTGGTCTTGTTTTGACACAACAAAGTATGCCTTGATTACTAGAGTACTGTGACTTTTTTACAGAAGGAATGTTGTATGTATGAATGAATTAAAATTTATGAACAGGAATCTATGGAATGACGTATCAAGTAACTTTTTTAAAATGAGAAAACATCGTATGATTCCCTTTTGAAGGTGGGTTTTACAACAGTCACCTGGATGGAAAAGAGAAGTGCGAAAGGCAATGGTAGGTCGATGAAGGATGAGGTAAGCCCTCTGCTGAGAGATGAGCAAACAAACCACAGAACAACCAAAGCGGAAAAATGTTGCCTGAACTATGAGAGAATTTCTAATGTGAAACTGTGTAGTGGGAAGGGGATAATTATCAATACCCACTTATCAATACCCACCTGTCAATACGTGAAGCAATTCCACACTTATTAGGAGGAAGAAGGTTTTCAATGTTTATTTATAGAGACCTGATTTGTATAATCCTTAAACTCAGTTCAAGTTTTTTGGTGACCCACAGCTTTTATTCAGACAAGGAAATGCTGAGATATCCCAATTTTTTTGTTTGTTTTTTGAGATGGAGCCTCACTCTGCCCCCCAGGCTGGAGTACAGCGGCACGATCTCGGCTCACTCCAACAACCGCCTCTCGGGTTCAAGCAATTCTCCTGCCTCAGCCTCCCGAGAAGCTGGGATTACCGGCGCCTGCCACTGTGCCCAGCTAATTTTTGTATTTTTACTAGAGATGGGGTTTCACTATGTTGGTCAGGCTGGTCTCAAACACCTGACCTCGTGATCTACCCGCCTTGACCTCCCAAAGTGCTGGGCTTATAGGCGTGAGCCATGGTGCCTGGCCCAAGATATCACAATTTTTGAATTCTGTTTCTAAAGGGGAAATTTCCTTACCCAGTGAGACCAGGTTCCTATAGTTCTCCAGCATCACATCCCGGTACAAGTTTCTCTGAGAAGGAGCCAGCTTCCTCCACTCATCCCGGGTAAAGAGCACAGCCACATCCTCGAACGTCAGTGACACCTGTAAGGACAAGCTGTTCCAGCTCACCCAGGACCACCCTCAGAGTGAAGAGGGCAGCAGTGGGGAAGACAAGCTACCCAAGAAATGCTTCTGATACTATTCAAGCTTCTGAAGGTTCCAGGTCATTCATTTAATGAACGATTGGCCAGTAACAAAGATATACTGAGCAGCACACAGTGAGAGCCAGGCCTTTTCCAGCCACTGTAAGGGATGGGTAGAGGGATTAAGGCCATTAGTGGGAGTGTTAATTACTTTTTCATTGGCAATTTGATAATACATATTTAAAAACTTAGAACTGTATATAATCTTTAACTCACCAATTACTGTTAGGAACAGGGCACAAAATATATAAGCACAAGGATACTTATCATGGTGTTAGCAGCAAAAAATACTGGAAATAACCTACATATTCACTGATATAGGCTAGGTTAAATAATGTACGGCACTACCTGTGTGCTCATTCAAGCTTGAAGATAGTAATGATGAAAATCCGAATAAATCTATTTTACTGAATGCTTTACATGGGACAGATACTATTTTTAAAGCTTTATATTAATCATTAGTATATACTTCATGTAACCTTCACAATTACCCTATGAAGAAGATAGTTATTGTTCCCATTTAAAGAGAAATGAAGTCATTGAGAGGCTAAGAAATTTGTCTAAAGTCACACAGCTGTTCAGTGGTATAGCTGGGATTCCAATCCAGGCAGATGTCCTAGGCTCCATTTGGAAGTACTCTAAAACTGCCTCTCAAAATCTACCTAATAGTTAATAAATAAGATAATCCACACAATGCACTTAAAACCATAACAGGCTCACATTAAAGGTTCAAATGTTAACTATTATCACATTAATACAAATACACCATCATTAGAGCTGGTGGTATAAACTGCTATTTGTTAACATAAAAAGACATCCATGAAAATGCTAAGCACAAAAAGCAGGTTATATATATATCACTGTTTAATTTGTCCCCCTTCAAAAAAAATTTCAATATACACAGAAAATTATTGAGATATACAATAAACTGAATGACAGTGATTATCTCCAGATGGTGGGGTTAAGGGTGGTTTTATTTTCTATTGTGTATATGAAATACACACATAGTATACATTCATGTGTTGCATTAACGATGGAGGTACTTTCTGAGAAATGCATTGTTAAGCCATTTCCTTACTATGGGATATAAGAGACAAACCTGGATGATACGGCCACCTACATACCCATGCTATATGGTACAGCCTATTGCTCCTAGGCTATAAACCTGTACAGCACGTTACCCTACTGAATGCTATAGGAAACTGTAAAACAATTCTAAGTGTCTGTGTATATAAATATATTTCAACACAGAAAAGGTATGGTAAAATACAGTATAAAAAATAAGAAATGGTATACCTGGACAGAGTATTTGCCATGAATGGAGCAGGACTGGAAGTTGCCTGAGTAGTGAGTGAATGGGAAACTTAGGACATTACTGTGCATGACTGTAGATGTTTCAAACATTGTACACTTAGGCTACACTACATTTATTTTTTAAAAGTTTTCTTTTTCAACAACAAATTATCCTCAGCTTACTGTAACTCTTTTACTTTACAAACTCCTTAGTTTTTTCAAACTTTGACTTCCTTATAGTAACACTTACCTTAAAATAAACACATTGTATAGCTGTACACAAATATTTTCTTCCTTTACATCTTTATTCTATAAGCTTTATCCTATTTTAAAACTTTTATTTTTACTTTTAAAAACTTGTTAAAAACTAGGACATAGGGGCCAGGCGCAGTGGCTCACGCCTGTAATCCCAGCACTTTGGGAGGCCGAGGCGGGTGGATCACGAGGTCAAGAGATCGAGACCATCCTGGTCAACATGGTGAAACCCCGTCTCTACTAAAAATACAAAAAATTAGCTGGGCATGGTGGTGCGTGCCTGTAATCCCAGCTACTTAGGAGGCTGAGGCAGGAAAATTGCCTGAACCCAGGAGGCGGAGGTTGCAGTAAGCCGAGATTGCGCCATTGCACTCCAGCCTGGGTAACAAGAGCGAAACTCCGTCTCAAAAAAAAAACAAAAAAACCAAACTAGGACATAAACGTGCACATTAGTCTAGGCCTACACAGGGTCAGCATCATCAACGCCACTATCTTACACCTCTACGTCCTGTCCCACTGGAAGGTCTTCAGGGGCAATGATACACATGCAGCTGTCATCTTCTTTGGGAACAAAGCTTTCTTCTGGGTACCCCCGAAGAACCTGCCTGAGGCTCTTACAGTTAATGTTTAAAAAAATACACAAAAGGAAGACACTGTAAAGTATCAAGAATAGTATAATAAATACATAAACCAGCAACACAGTCAGATATTATCAAGTATTATGAATTATACATAATTGCATATGTTGTATACTCTTATAGGACTGGCAGGCTGCAGGGTAGGCCTGTTTAGACCAAAATCACCACAAAATAGGAGCAAAGCCTTGCACTACAATGTTACAATGGCTATTAAGTCAATAAAAAACGAATTTTTCAGTTTTTTTTTTTTTTTTTTTTTCCAGAGGACATCTTGCTCTGTTGCCCAGGCTGGAGTGGAATGGCGTAATCTCGGCTCACAAGCAGCTTCTGCCTCCTGGGTCCTAGCCATTCTCCTGCTTCAGCTTCCCGAGTAGTTGGGATTACAGGCACCTGCCACAATACCCAACTAATTTTTGTATTTTTAGTAGAGACAGGGTTTCACCATGTTGGTCAGGCTGGTCTCAAATTCCTGACCTCAGGTGATCCACCCACCTCGGCCTCCCACAGTGCTGGGATTACAGGTGTGAGCCACCACACCCAGCTACATTTTAATCTTTTTTTTTTTTTTTTTTTTGAGACGGAGTTTCACTCATGCTACCCAGGCTGGAGTGCAATGGCGCGATCTCGGCTCACCGCAACCTCCGCCTCCTGGGTTCAGGCAATTCTCCTGCCTCAGCCTCCTGAGTAGCTGGGATTACAGGCACGCACCACCATGCCCAGCTAATGTTTTGTATTTTTAGTAGAGACGGGGTTTCACCATGTTGACCAGGATGGTCTCGATCTGTTGACCTCGTGATCCACCCGCCTCAGCCTCCCAAAGTGCTGGGATTACAGGCTTGAGCCACCGCGCCCGGCTACATTTTAATCTTAAGCAACTACTGCCACATTTATGGTCTTTCATTGACCAAAACATCATTATGCAATGCACGTCTACATCAACATACACATACATATGTGCGTGTATATATACACATATCCAGAAACACAGTTTTATACCTACATATATGTACAAATGTTTTATTCTCTAAAATTAACACCATGACCCTGCGATATTTTTATGGTGAGCAAGAGTAACAAATTATTTGTAGAGCGGGTAAGAGTACAAGAAATGATGTTTTTTTTAAGGAAAGAATGCATAATCTGACTGGCAGACTAGAAAATGCATGAAATAATCTGAGCAATGAAAAACTGTGTGGCTGGAAAGGGCCCTGAGATGAGAACACAAGGTCCAAGGCAGCCAAGGTCCCAGGTCATGTGCTTTGCTATGACATGGCACATGTCATAGCATGTGGCAGGATCCTAACTCCAGTTTTCTAACTGTGAACTTTGTACTTTCTCTGGTCTTAGAATTCCCTTCATTGAATTTTACACACATGTCTACACAGTACTGATGCATGGGCAGCAAGGGCAGACAGGAAGGATGCTACAGAGATTCACTCAAACATAGGGATGCAGCAGGTTCCGGTCAGGAGAGCAGCTTGGCTCTGTTGGAAGGGAACAGGAATGCCTTGAAGGACAAACAGTAGCTCAAATGCATAATGCTCATTCTGTCCACACCCTCAGATCAAACTCCACTGTGTTCCCTTGGTCTAAAAGATAATGCCACATCGAAGATGAGCTCTGGTATCACGTGGCTAGATCTGCCCACGCTCTGAAAGACGCCAGAGAAACGACTGGGTGGTCCGAGAGAACTCAGAGCCCGACACAATTGAAATGTGCTCAGGTTACTTAACTTTCCTTAGTTTAACAGGTTCCTCACATGTAAAACAAAAATTTTAATTGTTGTGCTATTATGAGAGTGAGAAAACAAACGTAAAGCCCTCAGCCCATTCTCTGGTGTGCTAGACATTCAGTGGACATTATTATTGTCAGACAAAAAAACGAAAAAAGGATAACATCATCTGGGTCCTAAACACATTGTACAGCAGTTTCTATATTATCAACATTATTAATGTACTAACAATGTCACTCAGCGACCAAAACCACCACAAACTGAGCAGTAACTATGTGCCTAACCCTGATCTAAACGTTTTCCATACACTAACTCATGTAAGCCCCTCATCTACGCTGGGAAGTGGACACAGTTGTTATTCCCATTTTAGAGGTGAGAAAACTGAGGCACAGAGAGGTGAAGCCCAAGACCCACAAACAGCAACAAAAGAGATGGATTAAAATGCGGCCATCCGGCTTGACAGCCCTACTTCCTAACCACCACGTATGCTGCCTCTGTACTACTGATATCCCATGAAACCCTTCCTGAGGCTACCTGAGGGATCTTGTCTCTGTCCTTGGAGTCAAGTGACCTCTCCAACTCTGTTCATTCTTCTCTCACCTAGAAAGGGTGGCCTTCTCATTCCCACTACACAAAAATGAAAACAGTGTAGATCAGTTTTCAAGAGTGATACAAGCAAAGGATATGATTTACAAAGAGGAAGAAAAAAAACTAAAAACTACCGTTGGAGAAGCCTGGGGAAGGGGTGATGTTATGAGGATTCTCAAGAGTGAAAAGAAAAAGTATTCTTGCAAAGGATACGAAGGGATACGTGCGTGAGTGAAGGAGGCAGGGACTGTTCTCAAGGGGTGCATGTTTGTTCTGTCCGTAGTGATATACACACTTGTAGCATCTTACTTGTCAAATTAGTCACACAATGGATTGAAATTAGTGAACAAAGTGCGTTTATTAAGAAAAAAGAATCACTAGACATGGATGGGGAGGGTGGGTGGTTCTCCTTACAGAATCCACCACTCCTAAGGACAGACCAGCTACTCCAAGGGAAAAGGACTTGGGCTCCATCCTGGCTGAAGATAGCCCTGGGTGATGAAACTTTTAGTGGGAAAATCCATTTACTGAGATCTGGGACGGCAATGAGCTCACCTGGGGCCTCGCTTCCGGCTGCCCAGCAGCCATGTCCTCTTTCTGGGCTCTCCCCTGAGGGCGGTGCAGTCTCCAGAAGGCAGATCTGAGAAGAGAAAGGAAGTCAGGAGGAAGCCCCTTCTGCTTGCCAGCCCTGGAATTCTCAGTTCTGAAACCCGACCCCGCGCGTCCTCAGAGGGAGGCGCCAGGAGCTCGCAGACGAGCAGCGCTGGGCCGCCCGTCCAGGACCAGGTCTCGTGGGCTCTGGGCTTCCGGACCGGACGCTGGACCCGCGGCGGCAGCAACAACCCGCTGAGCCCACTAGGGCCAGGGCCCGCCCCGAGCTGCTGAGTTCCTCGGCGCCAGGTCGCACTGCCAGCACCCACTGCACCGCTCAGGAAACTGAGGCAGCGCCAGGGCACCTGCCCCGTTCACGCCCCTGCGAGGCTGGCCCGGGATTCCCAACACGATGACCCCGGGGACGACTTCCCTCCACCCCAAGCCTTTTTCCACCCGGTTCCTCTGCCTCCTGCCAAGGAATCATCTCCTGACTTCCACAGCAAACGGCTTTGAAGAGGAAAGCGTTAGGTTTCCAGAGGAGGGAGGTGCGGCCATCATGGGGACGGACACGGAAACCGGAGCCCGGCTGCGTCCGCCCTGAGCTCGGAGTCTCGTCGCCCCGAGTCCGCGAGGCCCACACGGCGCGCACAGGGCGGACCCGGGAGGAAACGCCTGGCCCAGCGTCCACGGCCGGCAGCGGCGAGCCCGAGCGGAGGCATCGGCGGCTGCGCGGCAGCGGTCCGCGGGGGACGAGAGTCCAAGGCCCGACGCGGGGGCTGGTGACAGACGCAGGGGTGCCCGCCCGCGCCCACAAAGGCTCTCGGAGCCGCGGCGGCCGCAGGGCGTCCCAACGCTCGGCGCCACCGCCTCCAGGCCCGGCCCGCCTCCGCCGCTCACCTCCCCAGACTCGGGCGTTCCTGGGACGCACCTCCCCAACCGCGCTTCGCAGGATTGAGGCTTCAAAATCGCCCAAACGGACTGCAGCCTCACTAGCCGGCGGCGTCTGAGCTACCTTAGTCCCCGCGCCGCTCAATCAGCTGCTAACGTTCCGCGGCGCGCCGGGGACCGTGAGGGGCGGAGCGGCCGCTGAGTCCTCTGGGAAATGGAGTCCACGGGAGGACGCTGGCATTCTGGGAAGTGTAGTTCCACGCGTTTGAGGCGGGGTCCTGGCTAAGCTGTTAGGCACCCAGACGTCACGAGAGGGCCCCTGTGAGCTGGAAGGCCCCGGGTTCCTGGTTTTTCGGAAGAGAAGGGAAGGTTCCTGGAGGCCAGTAAGGCAACTGTGTCTGAAGCTGGATTTCCACATGCAAGAGATGAGCATGGACCCTGACCTTATACCATACATAAAAATTAACTCAAAATTGATCAAAAACCTAAATGTGAGACCAAAATTTTTTATAAACTATTAAAATAAAAGGGGAAAACTCTAGGACGTGGCAATGATTTCTTGAATATGATACCAAAAGCACAGATAACAAGAGCAAAAATAGACAAATAGGACTACATCAAACTTAAAAACTTTGGCTAATCAAAGGAAACGACAGAGTAAAAAGGCAATCTACAGAATAGAAAAAAATGCTTACATATCATAGATCTGATTTGCAGTATATCCTGGATTTATATGGAACTTTGACAACTCAACAACGACAAAACCAAATAACCTGATTTTAAAATGGGCAAAGGACTTGAATAGGCAATTCTCCAATGAAGATACACAAATGAGCAATGAGCAATAAGCATATAAAAAGATGCTAAACATCTCTAGGTATAAGAAAAATATAAACCAAAACACAATGAAATATCACTGCACCCCCATTAGGATGGCCACTATCAAAAGAATGTAAATCGGTACAATCATTATAGAAAACAGTATAGAGGTTCCTTAAAAAATTATAACGAGGCTGGGCACGGTGGCACACGCCTGTAATCCCAGCACTTTGGGAGGCCGAGGCGGGTGGATCACGAGGTCAAGAGATTGAGACCATTCTGGTCAACACGATGAAACCCCGTCTCTACTAAAACTACAAAAAATCAGCTGGGCATGGTGGCACGTGCCTGTAATCCCAGCTACTCAGGAGGCTGAGGCAGGAGAATTGCCTGAACCCGGGAGGCGGAGGTTGCAGTGAGCCGAGATTGCGCCATTGCACTCCAGCCTGGATAACAAGAGCGAAACTCCGTCACAAAAAAAAAAAAAAAAAATTATATATACGGAAACAACTGAATGTCTGTTGATGGATGACCGATAAAGCAAATGTGTTTATTACACAATGGAATATTACTCTGTCTTAAAAAAAAATAAGGAAATCCAGGGCCAGGCACAGTGGCTCACACCTGTGATTCCAGCACTTTGGGAAACCAAGGTGGGCGGATCATGAGGTCAGGAGATCAAGACAATCCTTAACAATGTGGTGAAACCCTGTCTCTACTAAAAATACAAAACAGCCGGATGTGGCAGAGTGCACCTGTAGTCCTCGTTACTCGGGAGGCAGAGGCAGGAGAATTGCTTGAACCCAGGAGGCAGAGGCTGCTGTGAACAAAGATTGCGCCATTACACTCCAGCCTGGGTGATAGAACGAGACTCCACCTCAAAAAGAAAAAAAAAAAGGGAAATCCTGACACACACGACAATATGGATGAACCTGGAGGACATTAGGCTAAGTAAAATAAACAAGACACAGAAATACAAATGCTGCATGATTTCACTTACATGGGGAATCTAAAACAGTCAAACTCAAAGAAGAAAGTAGCATGGTGATTTCCCTGTGTGTTAAATACTAACCTTCCCATATGGGTAACGCCACAAGGCACAACTGTCTGCCTGGATGCACAGGGATCATTTCCTTACGCAGCCACACCCATCCTGTTACCATGAACTGCAGGTTTCCTTCCATGGGTGCTGGCCCAGTGCAAGTCCCTGCTATCTCTCTGTACAGTACCACGGGCTGCTCTGTACCACTCTACACTACCACAAGCTGCTGCTCCTTTTTTTTAGAGAGACGGAGTCTCACTATGTTACCCAGGCTGGTCTCAAACGCCTGGGCTTAATTGATCCTCCCGCCTTGGCCTGCCAGAGTACTGGGAATACAGGTGTGAGCCACCACACCTAGCACAAAAAAAATATTTTTTAACAAAAATGAGATGTTTTATTGTCTTCTCTTTGCACATAGAGTGAAAGCCCGAATCCTTGTTGTGGGCCCTAAATCGTATGGCTTTTGACTCCTTTTCCAATATCTACTGTCTTTCTACTGCACTCTGCTTCTCAGCACGAAAACAGCCAAATGTGTTGCCGTCTTCCATAAAAATCTTTCCTCCCGTGGGGTGCGGTGGCTCACACCTGTAATCCCGGCACTTTGGGAGGCTGAGGCAGGTGGATGACTTGAGGCCACGGGTTCGAGACTAGCCTGGCCAACATGGTGAAACCCCATCTCTACTAAAACTACAAAAATTAGCCAGGTGTGGTGGTGCACACCTGTAATCCCAGCTACTGGGAAGGCTGAGGCAGGAGAATCTCTTGAACCCAGGAGGCAAATGTTTCAGTGAGCCGAGATGGTGCCACCGCATTCCAGCCTAGGCACAGAGGGAGATGCTGTCTCAAATAAATAAATAAATCCCTCCTCGACCACCTGTGGTGGCCTACGCCTATAATCCCAGTACTTTGGGAGACCAAGACCAAGTGGACAGATCACCTGCGTTCAAGACCAGCCTGACCAACATGGTGAAACCCCATCTCTACTAAACATACAAAATTTAGCCAGGCGTGGTGGCACATGCCTGTAATCCCAGCTACTTGGGAGGTTGAGGCAGAAGAATTGCTTGAACCTGGGAGGCAGAGGTTGCAGTGAGCTGAGATCGTGCCATTGCACTCCAGCCTGGGCAACAAAAGCGAAACTCCGTCTCAAATTAAAAAAAAAAAAATCCTTCCTCATAAATGATTACCCATCTGGGAAAATGGGTAGATTCCTTCTTACTTTTGCCAGATTTCCAAACAAACCAAAGGTAATTAAAAATGAAAAAAAAAAAAAAAATATATATATATATATATATATATAAATATATATGAATACATAATTAAAATGACAAAAAATGAAGAAAAACCTCAAGGAATATTTTTATAATCTTGGACTGAAGAAAACCCTTTTTAAAAGTAGGACATATGGCTAGGCACAGTGGCTCACACCTGTAGTCCCAGCACTTAGGGAGGCCCAGGTGGACGGATCACCTGAGATCAGGAGTTCCAGACCAGCCTGGCCAACATAGTGAAACCCCATCCGTACTAAAAATAAAAATAAAAATAATTATTCAGGGTGATGGCACACGCCTGTAATCCCAGCTACTCAGGAGGCTGAGGCAGGACAATCACTTGAACCCAGGAGGCAGAGGTTGTAGTGAGTCAAGATGGCGCCACTGCACTCCAGCCTGGTGACACAGCAAGAAAAAAAAAAAAGAAAAAGAAAAAAAGTAGGCCATAAAACTCAAAAGTCAATCAGGCAAGGTGACTCATGCCTATAATCCCAGCACTTTGGGAGGCTGAGGTGGGACAACTGCTAGAGACCAGCTTGGGCAACATAGTGAGATCTTGTCTCTACAAAAAAAAAAAAAAAAAAATTATGAAAATTAGTTGGGCATGATGGCACGCCCCTGTGGTCCCAACTACTTGGGAGGCTGAGTCCGGAGGGTTACTTGAGCCCGGGAGGAGGAGGTTGCAGTCAGCTGAGATTGCACCACTGAACTCCAGCCGCCTGGGTGACACAGCAAGACTGTCTCAAAATATATATATACCTCTTTTTTGGGGGGTATATATATACCAACACTCAAAAGCCAACAATGATATTAAAAAATTAAAAACTCTGCCTCAATAAAACATATCTCCAGGCCACATTCAGACACCATGGGCTGCCACCCCTGCTGGAGCCTCCACCTGCAGCATCTCAATACATTTTGCTGGTTTTAAGACAGCCATAAGTTGGTCACTGAAACATGCTACAGGACAATTCGAGAAAAGCTGGAATTGGGAGCAGTTTTGCTCATTCCAATATTGGGAGTTGGCAAGAGACCACAGCAGTCTAGACCCAGTGAATTTTAGAAACTGAGCCATCAGGGGAGAAAAGATATAGATATCATGTAGCTATCTTGTAGTTCTAAATTTGGATTGGAAGCAATATGAACTGATAACGTATTTTATCATATATGTTATATGTGTGTATGCATGTAGGTATGTGTTTGCATACATACAAAGACACCCCCGACATGGGCTGGGCGAGGTGGCTCACGCCTGTGATCCCCGAACTTTGGGAGACCCAGGTGGGTGGCTCACCTGAGGTCGGGAGTTCAAGACCAGCCTGACCAACATGGATAAACCCCGTCTCTGCTAACAATACAAAATTAACTGGGCATGATAGCGCATGCCTGTAATCCCAGCTACTTGGGAGGGAGACTGAGGCAAGAGAATTGCTTGACCTGGGAGGTGGAGGTTTCGGTGAGCTGAGATTGCGCCATTGCACTCCAGCCTGGGCAACAAGAGTGAAACTCCTTTGGGATGGAAGGAAGGAGGGAGGGAGGGAGGGCCAGCAGGCAGGCAGGCAGGCAGGCAGGCCCCCCACACACACACCATTCAGAAAGAATCATCTCCTTGGGAGTGAACAGTCTTATCATCTCTGCACCTGTGCTGCTGCCATCCCATCATAAGCCTGCCTTTGCTGACCCCAACTTTCCTCCTGTCTTACAGCTACAGTTGTCTTCCTGCAAGTCTGTTTCCCTTTCCCTGGCAGTGAAATGCTAGAGTTCCTCAACACTAAGTCCCAGGCTCCTTCTTCCCCTCATTAAGTCTGAGACCTCTCTC